CGTGCGCTGCCTGCTGGCCGGCGGCCTCCTGCCCCGCTGCAGCGCCTCCTCCTAGCCCGCGCTTCCCGCCCGCTTCCCGCCCGCTTCCCGTGCCTTTCCCAGATGCTTCCCGCGCGCTCCCCGCAATAAAGGTCCCGGAACGCGGCGCTCCGCGCAGGGGGTTGACGTGATGGCCCGCGCAGGGGGTTGACGTGATGGCCCGCGCAGGGGGTTGACGTGATGGCCCGCGCAGGGGGTTGACGTGATGGCCCGCGCGGGAGCCCTATGGGGGGTCCGTCCTTCCTCCTATGGACTGTGATGCCACTCGGCTCCTGCAGTCCCCTACGGCCATCCTATAGGAGTGCCTGCTCCTCCAGCCCCCTATGGATCCTACTCCTGCCCTATAGGGGTTCCTGCTCTCCCAGCCACCCCTGCCACGCTATAGGGCGGGTGACCAGCACTCTATAGGGGTCCCTGCTCCTCCACCCCTGCGGATTTGAGTACCACCCTCTAGGGACCTGAGCAGCACCCTATAGTTTTTATTTGCCCTTCCAGCCCCCTATGGACCCTACTGCCACCCTATAGAGGATGTGGCCAGCCCTCTATAGGGGATCCCTTCTCTTCTAGCCCTTCCCACAGACCATGGCCACCCTATAGATGACCCTGCTCCTCCAGCCCCTCTACTGCCACCCTATAGTGATGTGGCCAGCACCTTATAGGGGTCTCTGCTCCTACACGCCCCTATAGGGACCAGACCAGCACCCTAAAGGGATTCCTGCTCTCCCAGTCCCTACAGATGCCACCACCTTATAGGGGATGTGACCAGCCCTGTATAGGGGACCTCCCTAGGAACCGCAGCACCACCCTATAGGGGACATATAGCGAGTCCCTGCCCCTCCAAACCCCAGCACCCCTCTCTAGGGGAGGTATAGGGAGCCCCTGACCCTTCAGCCCCCAGCACCATCCCATAGGGGACATATAGGGAGTCCCTGCCCCTCCAGCCCCAAGCACCACTCTATAGGGGAAGTATAGGGAGTCCCTGTCCCTCCAGCCCCAAGCACCACCCTATAGGGGAAGTATAGGGAGTCCCTGTCCCTCCAGCCCCAAGCACCACTCTATAGGGGAAGTATAGGGAGTCCCTGTCCCTCCAGCCCC